ACACCAGGGTCATGATGCAATACGCTCACGACTAGGAATCGAGCTACAGATCTGCTGGCTCAGGAAGAAGCAAAAGAGCAGGTAGTAGGCAGCAAGCAACGAAAATAGAGTACGGTATCGAATCCACGACAGTGATGAGAGTAGAAGAATAATTGGTGAGAATAACTAGGCGAAAGCACCAGGGACAACAGCCAGCAACTGTGAGACCACTGTTATACCCCTCTGACTTGCAACCGGAACCTCCTGAATGGCAGTAGAGCTTCAATTGCTGGACCTTGCAGTACCGGCACGCTCCAATGAACTGCTGTCATATGCCCACACGCGGGAAGATTATTCAAACTGCCGGACCTTCCACCGAATAAACGCGACCTCAATTATTCTACTTATGCTATTTGTAAGAAGGTGTTTCAGATACGTCGCTAGGTCATCTGTATAACACCTGCTATGACGTCGCTTTCAAGTCAGCTTCAGTCACTTCGCACTGCAGTTGCGCAGCATCAAACAGTAGAGCGACGGCATGTTTCATTATTGTTTGCAAAAAAGGAAGCTGAGGTGCTCGACAGAGAAACTATTTATAACATAGGTGCGCTTTCATGTTGTCTTGATATGAAGTTATCAGTGATATTTTCTTGTTTAGGCTGTACGGGTCTGCGGAAACTGAAGCAGCTTGATCCAGAATTTTTACCCAGTAACGATCTTTTTGAAGAATCTCGGCAACATTTCCAGCGCTCCCTGATAACCACTGAAGAAAATATAGCCCTCAACGAAAAGATTGAAAAGCTGCTATTTCAACTTTCTCCGTATGTGCAGCACTTCGCATGTCAACAAGTCTTGGAATGGCTCATTTTCAAATACCAAGCAAGTTTTTTTGCATGCCAGCATCAGACTTTTCTTTCCTACGCTTGGCTGTTTCAGATTTACGCCTACAATGCAGAGAGTTTAATCCTTACATTTATTCCTTTTCACGAAACTAACCTTTTTGGTCGTCTACTCTCTATTCTTGATTATAACTTTGCAACTTCGAAAGATTGGTCGTTTCTGGAGGGTTTCAGCAAAAAGGAGTATCCTGTTCCTTTCAGCTCCGTGAGTTGATTTGGATATTCTTTTCAAACACTGTTATCCTATGATCTTCCTTAACAGATTGTAAAGAGCACTGTCTCGAGTACTCATTCACTGATCACTCGGATTGGCGACCACCTCAACCGTGGAATTCAGGTACACAGAGTTGCGGTTTCTAGATGTAACAGAGTAAAGCAATATTCGTCCATTCAGTTAGTTGGGAAAAACTTTCTGGAGAAGAAATGTCATGTACTGTTCACCTTTTATGCGAAGCTTCTAATAGCCGTATTAGAAGAGACTTCAAAAATTGATGACTCCTTGTTGGCTAAAATTATCCCGCTTCTCGCAAGTGGGCTCAAGTGAGTTTTGCCTTCGCATCGCTTTCTGTAACCTTCCTATCGCAAATAAAATAGCATTCATCAAGTGTTTCTGAATAGAGGTGTCCATTTAAACGCATATTGGACAGCTGGCATAAAAAACAATTTAATGGCATGGGTTCAATTAGATGATTGGGTTTTACCACAACGTAAGTATAATAAATAATATTTGGTAGTACTAAAGCTGGTAGCACCAGTGCATGTCACGAATATTACGGCTAGGTGCACAACGATTCTAATCAAGTATTTTTCACAAGGGGCTGAGAAAATGAAGGTGAAGGGGCCCAAAAACTAGGAAAATAGAGCATAACAAAGGGTACTGCTGATTTATAATAATAGAAGGTTAATAACTATAAGCGTAGTTTTTAAAAAGAATTCACATACTTTCGTGGTACGTGTTTTTATCCTGTTACTGTACAAATATCGTCGTTTTGTTATGATTACAATCATATGTTTAGTCATTCATTCCGTATGAGGTAGCTTTTTTTACTGTATTGCTCATGCTATTCTTTAGAAGTGCTCTTCCTTCCTTCCGTGAAACAACGCTGATGGTGATTTGTCAGCTGGTCATTGCCGTAAAATTAACACCAGATGTTGTAGCATCACTTACAAAAGCCGTCTTAATGGTGAGTGTTATTTACTCTTACCAGTTCCCCGTCTTACACCCAGCTGCCTCTTTTTTACTGACAATTTCGCAATTCCCACCATTTTTCGAACATTTCAACTTTCAGCGAGCAAAGTTCAGCTAATTCTAGCCTTAGGTGGAATTAAGTGAACTTTCCTCATGGCAGATTGCCACATACCTTCCCTTTGGTATTTTTTGTGTCAGTGTTATCAGATCCTTTCCATGTAGTATAATTCCACTTTTTGCATTTTATGGGAACAGTTTCACGAATGAGCGGTGAGGAGTGATCGCAGGTTTTCCACAAAACGTTTCAGCTCTCCCACAGGCGCTGTTGTTGAGATTGTTAATGACTGCCAATGAAACTATTCATCAAATCTTGTTTTACCACGGAAGGAAAACCTTACTTAGTGTGGAACTTTGAATGGAGACCCAGCTTAATCGTTAGAGTTGGGAATGGTGTTCACGTTGTGCGTCGTCGGAATTCGCTTGAAGATATTATTAATCAGAATTGCGTTACACATGCTGTTTCTCTACAAACACAGAAGCATCATCAGTCTTTTTGAGTCTAAAATATACTCGCCAGGAAAGATCAAGGCGCCTAGGTTTTCATCAAAATACTCTGACCTGTGCCTCGAGCACTTCAGAATGTTTCAAATGCGGGAAACGAAAATTTAATTCAATTGCGCTTAAATTGCGCTCTGTTCTACGACATTGTTCCTTTGTGTCATGTTGAAGTCGGGATTGTTTATCATAGCGCAGGTCCTGATTTGCTTCAAAACGTTTTTCGACGGACCCTAGAAGTGGACTTCCAAAGGTTGGATCATTGATGTAGTATCGTCAGAAATATTGTGGTTTCCTGTGTGGCATCCACTGAAGTTCCCATCTAGAATTGAACAACAGCGTTCCAAATACAAAGGTTATGTTAAATCGCGCTGCCCACCGTCAGGGACAGCTTCCTTGATGGTGTGGGTTTCACGAAAAGGCTGTCGTAAGTTCATAACAAGGTGTATTTCTTGATCAGTTCTGCTTCGAATAGTCAAATCTTGATCCAGGCGGCCACTAACTCATTGGTCATGACTTTGTCGTTCCCGTTTTGTGCTTACCGTTTATTGAGATATTCATGGTATGAGGGAAGGTATGGTATTGCAAACATTGCACCTCTGCCACTCCTGCTAAGTATTTGTTCAATCTTTATATGTTGATTATATAGCCAACATGTTGTACTATGCATAAAATGTTCACTTCGTAAACAACATGATTGCTTCACACGTTTTTTTTTTCGGTTTTTTTCCTTCAATAATGTGAATTTCTCATGGCATGTGTTTCTTTACTTCTTCAGAGAGCGAATAATTATGTACTTACTTATTACTTACGCATTTAAGTTTGCTTTTTTCGATGCTTAAAATAAGTTCAGACTCAGACGATTAACGTTCCGTAGAACTCTCTCTTGAATAAAGGCGACAAGGGGCGCCTACTCGGATGAATGTCAGAAAAGGTCCGGCGACTCCGCCTTCCGATTAACACTATTTTAAAACAAATTCTGTCGCTCACAACTTCTTGAGGAAGGCACTTTGCAGTTTCAATTTCCATAATGTTAAGCAACATTCCAAACTATCGACATACCTGGTCTCCCTTCGAAGTTCCATGGTGGGAACTACCTCTCCTTGTTAGGTGCAGAAACAATCGCAATTTCGTAGTAGCAATTGATAGCGCATTTGAAGGTGTTATGCTCTGATAAAAATTTGCCTTATCGCGTTTCGCCAACTTCTTCGAGAAAACTTTCATATGTCGCGTGAAAAATAAATAAATAAAAATAAATAATCAAATAATTACTAAATAAATAATAAAAAATAAAAAACATAGCTACGAATAGTGAGACATTTCATAGCAAATTGAAGTTATTATAAACCCCATCACTTCATTTTCAGAAGTTCCGCTTATATCCACAGGAAAGTACGCTACCAACCCTAATTGTCATATGTCAACAACAAGTGGTGGAGTCGCTGCCGAGAAAGTGAGCAGTATAATATTAGCTAGGAACTAGTTCGAATCACTTCAGCTTCCTTATATTTTCTTATCATCAGAGCAATCCTGAAAATGTTGCGTGCGGAACAAAATATATGGACCACATTGAAGGGATACCGAGAAACAACTGACTTAACTCCACTTTTGAATGCGCTATGGACCACATTGTTCTCTATAGCTAATGAAGGTGCATTTCGTGATTTTTTGCTCTGTGATTGATATACTTCAAGTCAAAAAAAACTCTTAGAGTCTTATGATGAAGATCACAAGCAGTGCCTGTACGTATTGCGAGAGACCTCTTATCCTGAAGAACTTTATGCTTCTCAAGCAGCTATATTCTTAACGAAATTGCTTCAATACCCTGAACTGCGGGGGCTTGATGACAACAAAAAGTTTGGGAAGCATGTCTATAGCATGATAGCCAGGTTGGTCTTTCTTTGTAAAAGGGAAGCTACCAAGCTAAGCTACAGTACCATCTATTTTTAGATTCTCAGATCAGTGGCAAAAAGTTTGTGAGGAGTGGACTTCACGTGACGAGAGGGTTCTTGCCAACATTGTTCGAAAATACGACTTAGAGCCGCTAATGGTGGTTTGTTTTCTTGCTGCGAATTCACACCTCTGATTAATTTTGTTTTTTTTTTTGTAGAATTGTGAATGGAGGTTTGCATATACTTACTTAATTTATTACATGCTGTTGGCATGTTAACAACCTAGATTGAGAGAAGAGAGAAAAAAACACGATAAAACAGTAGAAAGTAAAAAAAATGTTACCAGATCAAATACGAAGAACATCATTCTATGTTAATGAATGGAACGCAGATAAAGAGATACCTATAGCTATCGTATGGAATGTTGCTCACAACTAGGAAACCAGTTTGGAACTTTCGTCAAACAAACATGGGCGTACAAAGTTCTTTCGATCTAGGAAAAGTTGAAATGTGTAGTTAAGTAACCTACAAGAGCGTTGCCTTGGAGCCATCTTAGTGCTCTCGCTCTCCATACGGTGGCACACAGTTTGCCTCCAATCATAGTTATTACCTCCGCACAAATCTTCCTATCCAGCCATAACTTTACCAAATACTCACTGGAAAGAGAGCGCATTATATTTTTTCTGACGTTTACTCAAATTAAGGAAAACGTCTCGAAAAAAACGTAATCCAAATCGGCGCTGAATTCAACGATTTTTGAATGCTCATATCTTGTTTTCAAAACTCATTGGATAGTTTCAAATGGCCTACTCTTCAATGGCATTCCAAAATTTCGATATACCTAGGTGTAAACTCAGAGTTACTGGTGGAGTTGAAACCTTTCTATGGTGATTCCATCAACGAAATGATTGCTGAGCTGTTTAGATTCATGCTTCAACCGAAGCAAAAAGGAAGCGCACCCGTCGAAGATCCGGTTCAACCCGCAAAAGCTTTTGTGATCCTGGCACGACTGACGAACCACAGGTACTTTATTGGCATGTTTTCTACTTTACTCCATTTCAGTTCTCCACACCCCCATTTATTGTGCGTATTCTAGTTTTCTTACTGTCGGTTGAACAGCTGTGTAGACTGTACCTGTTCTGTCCTACACTTGCAAATGATGGATTTCAATTCAGTTTAACCAATAGACTAAATAGATTGATAGACACGTAATGTGCTACTTGTTTTCTAATTGGGTTGTAAGATGATCTTGCAAAGTATCGAAATCGAAAGTAGCATGAGGTTCCGAAATTGAAGCGCACTTGAGTGCAGCATAGAGCACCCCGCCATTGCAGTGGCCGAGCTCGTTGCTAGTTGATAGCTTTTTGATATTCGCTGGTCAACCCATCCTTAAGTAATTTTGTCAAGGCTTTATGGAACGGTTCTCAAGAGCAACAAATGTTATGAGTTCACGAGAATGGACGTGTGACTGTAACCCAACGTCTACAACCAGCAGTCATTGGGTTACAGTCGGGTAAATTCAAGCCAGTCCAGTCAGGAGTAAGATCAGAAACATTTTTCCGAACGAGTCTTGAATCTTTTGCTCTCAGTGCTGTCTTGTGGGGTTTTTGTCCGATGGGACGATCTCACTTTCCAATTCAAGGAAAATGGTCGCGAAGAATGATTTGTCTCTTTTCGGAGGTTTTACCCCTGATAATGGCTCTACTCGGAGAATTAAACTTCTCCACACCAAACACCCTTTGGTCAGCTAGATGCCGAAGTGCATGCCTCGTGCAAATAATGGACGACTTGTTTTTTCCTTTCAAACTTCTTTTCTTCATGGTCGCTAGAAAGTTGCAGAATCTTACATTTGTATTGTGATGTATTTTTCTGAATTGGAAGGCTCTTCTCTAGATACTCTTCTCTATTTTCATTTTCATTGTTCTGCGGGAATCGCCGCGCAATGCTTTCCTAACCATTTTTCGAGACTTTTCGTTGGCCAATCCTCGCCTCCCAATTTTATGATGGCCGTACACGGAAGACCAAATAACTAGTGATTTGGATTCATGAGTTGCGTCTAAAGACGGATTTGCTGCTGGTTCAACAGAAGATCCATCATTCTAGAAAGAGCGGAACTAGGGAAACAAAGCAGAAATGTGTTCTGATTTATATCATAAACATAATTAGAATATTAGATTCCAAACTCCCTCAGAAGAAAGTGACATATGTACCTAAGGTTTTCTTTTAATTTAAGACTCAATCTGTTGATTAGATGTGAGAATCGGAGTACTTCAGGGATTTGATAGCCGCTACAGAAATAGTATTGAGTCGTAATGGTTTTTTTTATAACATCGGGTTTGTACCTGGACTCGATTTTTTCTCCTTTTGTATAAAAGAAGTTGTTGATAATAATTTGCAGGAAAAAAATGCTTTGGAACGTGCAGAAATCATGGCTTCTTCATCTGAGTTTGTTCGGCGATTGGAGTTTGTCGGCGATCCTCTGAAGAAAGCCCGAGAATGGATTAAGAGGGAAAAATGGGATAAGGTAAACACTCTTACTGATATTCTCAGTTTTACGCCACCTCGATATTTCTTTCAATATGAGGGCTGCATAAATTAGTTCATTGTAGCTCGGAAATATCGTCTGATAACCATACTCTTACCTTTTTCATCTCAGTTTTCGTTTTAATTTTAAGAAAGGCTTACTAACTAATTGCACCATAATGCTCTAGCTTGTTTCATCCGATTCCTTCAGATGGTCTCTATGTTATTAGACTTTTTGTATGGAGTATTATCAAGATAAGATTCCCTTTGTAAAATTGTGTTTTGCCCTTACAGGTGTCGTGGGCTTTCGATGAAATGAGTTCACGCAAATCTTATTTCTCTGATAAGGTTGATGGGGACATTGAGAAATTCGTCCTCGAGGTAATCCAAGTTGCAGTCAAAAACCCAAAGTGTCCTGTGATTGAGAAAGCATGTTCTGTGCTTGCGGAGGTATCTCAAGAAAATCTTCATGAATTTGTGGAAAAAGACATCTACCGAAAGAACCGTTCAGGTAAAACTTCGAAGCGATTTTGTCGTAGAGCTTCTGTCCCCTTATAATGCAGCTGCTCCTGCTCCGAAAAAACTAAAGTCGTCGACTGGAGGGAATTTAGCTGAGGTACGTGTCACATCCAATGGTAAGTAACGTAGTTGTTCCGTTCTGATGGTTAATTCGTGGGTGTAGGATTGTGTTGTTCTGTTACACTTCAGCAAAAATAATTGCGAACGATTAATGGCACAGTAGAAGCTAAACTTTATGGCACCTTGAGGCCGCTCAGCGTACTGTGTTGCTCTAGTTCGCTCAGCGTACTGTGTTGCTCTACTTCAAGAAGTAAATGATCCCCCCTCCCCCCTTCCCCTCCGACGGCGCCGGGCGACACAGATTCTGCCCTGCTCGCTGTATTCGCATATAGATCATCCCACCTACGGGTGGCATGCATGTAAAGGGAAACATGTGCCAAATGATCAACTGTGCTCCCACGAATAAGGGCGAACTTACTGCAAGTACACGTTTATGCAACTGCACAATGATACTAAGGTGCGAAGGGGAACTCATTCACATTCATTTCAGCCAAACGGCCGACTTTTTTGCCCAACTATCGCAGTTGCAGTCACGAAGGTTATCAGTTTTCCCCTTATACCGCGTGCGTGCTCCAAGACGCGGCATAAGAGTAAATCTTGAATTTCTCTGTATCCGTGTGCACGAGTGCGACACGCCGTTACGAGGACACTACGCCCCATGGGTAGGTCCCAGTCGTCGCTAGAATGAGCTGATTAAGGTGGGCTCCTTTCAGGGAATTGCTGCATTTTTTGCCTTTACTACCCAGCTCAACGCTCTCGTTCCTGACCTCACGATGGTACATCACGATTTGTGTCTTACAGTGTTGAGTGTTGCGCGATCTTGCATTGGACTGAATAAAAAAACTACAGGGAAGGGAACCTACTTGATTTGGTGGTTGTAATGGGCTATGTGGCTGCAACCTCCCTTTTCTTCCATTTCGGTCGAATCCATCTCGAGAGGAAGCGTGATCTGGGAACCAGCTGACTTACATTAGACTCAGTGCCAAGTTCTTTTTATAATATTTTATTCAGCCTTCCATTTTGCATAGATTTATTTATGCCAAATGTTCCATTTCCAGGCCTTTGGGAACGAAACTAGAGAAGAATATGAGAAACGATTGTGTTTTGTGGTTGATATGCAGAATAGACGACGGACCCCTGTTACCAGTGCTGGAATTTTTCGCGCTCTCTTCAGTCTTCTCAAGGAGTACAATTTTCGTTTCTGTCCTTTCCTCTCGTCGTAAAATCTACTTTTTATAGATCGTCCTGTGAGGAAAATCCTTACACAACACCTGTGATGAACTTACTGTTGGCAATGCTGAAAACAACAGGTTAACGACTTTCACTTGATTATAAATGTTACGTTCGCATAAGAAAATTTTCAGACAAACGTGAAATTAATCCTGCCGATTTGGAAATGGATTTTGTTGTGGAGATGATGCGCACAACCTACAGCCACTGTGTTCTACGACAATCGCTCCGTTTACTTACAGCTGCTGCACGATTGTCGCCTGTGGGTTATCACTTATTTACCCTGTTCCCGTATTCAATGTTCGTGGTTGGATTGCTGTTGCTCTTGCGTTTTCTGCAATCAACAAGTAAAAAAATAAGGGTGTCTTTAAATCTCCAGAACGATATGATTCTTGAGAATGCCAATAATAATTTGTTTGGTGTTGTCTATTGTTTCCAACTATATCGAGCTCGACTGCTGTATTTGCAGTCTACTGTCACATCTCACGTGATGTCTGTTTTCACATTTATGGGAAATGGATTATTTCGGAAGGATAACGAGCTGACATTGGGCATTATAGAAGACACAATAGAAGGCCTTTTCCGCGCAGTTTGTGAGCAAGATGGGAAGGTCGTTATATTGGAAATCGAATGACCTCAATTGCTCTTTCTTAATTGAAATAGTTTAAGACGCCATCAACTGAGATGCATACCCGCCTTGCAAGTGTAACCCGGATTCTCGCAGCTTCCACTTGCGACATTCCTGCTCATCGGCGGTCGCGTATCGCCCGTGCCATTGTTCGTGCAGTTAAGTACTCCAACGTTTGGATCATAGTTGGTGTCCTTATGGAACAGTGAGTTTCAATCTTTCTTGCACACGCTTACTGATGTTAACACTCTTCTGTTTGTTTATTTGTACGGAAATTCGATATTACCTGAAGAAGTACCTGCAGAAGTCGGGTCCAGTTTGGGATGGGTTGGCCATAGGACAGGACCAACAGGGCACGCTCAGCGGAGCTCCGCCCACAGAGGCGGGGCATGCACGAAGGTGGGCGGTGTCTTGGGCAGAGTGTGGAACTAGGTTTCATAAGAGCTCAGACGCCGGGAAAAAAAGGGCGTAGGTGAGGGATGGATCAACAAGAGAACTGAAGAAGAATCATCGGCGATGGGCGGAGAGATCTCGCAGTGGGCGGTGCTTACCACGTGAGCATAACCAGATTCAAGGGAACCGTGGAGGCCAGGAAAAAATCAAACGAAGTGAGCAAGGGCTTATGCGTGCTGGACATGCGTAACATGTCGAGGCTTCGCCACAATGGGCCAGGCGTACATTCAAATACTGGGTCCTGTTCGAAAATTTCATAACTCAGTTCAAAAATGTTCTAGAACCCGGTAAAAGAGTCTTTGTAGCTAATGGAAGGAGCGTGGTCAAAACCCAGGCGTGGGCGAGGCTGCGCTGAAGTGGGCGGGGCTAAAACCCGAAATTCGTTACTCTGTCCAAGAACATTCTAAAATGCGGGAAAGGAGAGGTTGAAGGTAATTGAAAGAATCTAACCATATCTTTGGAGTGGGCGGGGCCTGCACTAAGGTGGGCTGGCCTAATAGTAAGATCAAAATTTCATAGCTCTGTTTAAAATCTTTTCAGAATAGGGAGAGGGAAAGGGTTAGGGGCAGCTAGCAGCTGGCAGCTGGCATGGAGAAATTATTTTTCACTATAGTTTGCTTTAGCTTCTGCGCGAGGTGGCAACGTTCAATCGCGGACGATGGCAAGCGATCTCTCGAGTTAGACGCGTTTGATGATTTCGCAATTGAAATTTGTACCGTGCTTGATCCTGTATATCAAGTGAGCATTTTCTTAAGATTTTTTTTCGACGGCCAATTTCGTTTTCTTTTTACAGTTTTCTGTTGTCTTGGATCTTTTGAACTTCATTGTAAGACTTGGTGGTGATCGCCTTTCCCATCGTCAGGATATAGCGCTTGATCAAGCGGTTTTCGACAGGTTTCCTTTGATTTTTTATCAGGCTACTATAGACAGCGAACTGCCCATTGGTGCAAATTCCTGTCGAAGAAAAAACTGACCAACTTTTGAACCTTGTTATTGTTTTTTACTGCTGTAGCGAACTGCGTTCTGTGTTTTAAGCAAAGTGGTCAGATTCGTGGGATCGTTATGAAATAGGAAGCGTCTTTACGAAGTCAAATTCGA